CCACCTTTTGGATTCCAGCCACAGTCCATTTGCACATTAATATGCTGGGTGCTCAGTGGCCAGCTCAAAACCCCAATTAACAAAATAGCCACACACTCCCTCCTCCTTCCTCTGACGGTCCTGGGGCTCTCTACTCCAACAGGAATGCTCTGTAAGGGTTTGCACCGATCAAGGATTCCCTAGAAATGGCACTCTGGATGATGAAGGCATTGGTACAGTCCCAGGTGGGGACAACAGAGTTGTTCCAGTCACTGTTTGAGGGTTGTTATGGATTGTCCTGATGACAAAATGGGGCTGCAGAGACCAAACTGGCTCTTCTCAGCTAGACAAATGTGCCTGGCCAACCTTTGCCAAGCTCATTACAGCTCGACCAGCAGGGAATGAACTGAGCCAGCACAGCTTGTTTTAACTGTACAGCTGCAAGCATGGACTCCCCAGCCAAGACACAAACCTCACAGAATGAAATTTTACACAGGTAAAGATGAACTTGTGGCTTTTGCTATCACAGCAGCAGACACAGTGACACAAACCATCAGCTTCACAGCAGATTACCTCCCCTCAGAGGCACCCCATCTCCCTCAGGGTGCTCAGCGTGGATTTGCCATCCCAGCAGCAGGACCAGAGGAAGCCACCAAGCACCATTAGGGCTGAGCTCTCAGCTCTCACAGGAGGGAAGCAATGCTGACTTGTATCTGTACCTCTGCATCAGCAAGCACAATGTGAATTAACATGCTTTAACAAACAATACTCTTTTTCAGATTATTTGCAGCAATCAAATTTCCCTGTGTACCTCAGTGGGAGAACATTTCCTCGCAGGATTAGCTGCTGCTGCCTGCCACGCTCTCCACACTATTAAGGCAACCACTGTAATCTTGTCAGTCACGATAAGGCAGAGCCTTAGCAGGGAGCTGGAGTTCTGACAGGGAGACGAGCAAATCTCCCTGATAGCCGGATAGGCCCAGCCTGGTTCCATGGATGGTGTACACAGGATTACTGGAGACTGAACTGATAATTTTTTTTTGTCTTCACATCAGTTCTGTTCTTCAGCCCTTGCCTACAGACCACCAAGTCAGGGGAAGAGTAGAGCTTGTATCTGTGGTTCCTGGCCAGGTACAACTGAGGCCAAATAACAGAGACATTCCACATCACCCTATTCAGGATTTCATCTGCTGAGTCTGCCAATCAAGGAATTAATTATTTCCAACTGTAGTAAATTATTTTCATGCATATATTCCCCCACTGGGGCTTAGCTAAAAGCACATACATTAATTTAATTAATTAGCATTATGTGTAAAGGATGATGGAAAGCCTTATGACTAAACATTCAAGAAAAATCCCTGGATCTATATATTTTACCTAAATAAGATTTAAGCAAAGATAACACCTTGAAATGATGCTTAGAAGATAAACAATACTTGGAAAGAAATGTTTAGGTCTGAATTTTATTTACAGGAACCTTCTTACAAAGGCTAAGTTGACTTTTAGACTTCCTGTAAAAAACCAACATGAAATTACTGGAACTTTGCATTAATAGCAGCAATATCTGAAATAAAAAGCCTGACCTCATGACCTGACTTCCTATTACTTTGATGCTCAGGGCATCAGCAGCAATAAAATTCATGAAGAAGCCTGTAATAAAAACTTTTTCAATCACATCAGCAGGTGAGGTGAACATGTAATTTTAATTTTGCATACAACCTCGATCTTCTCATCTTAAAACAGACCTATTGCAGCTGGAGGAGACACTGAGGAGGTCAAAGATAACTGAGGAAGATTTTACATTTTTCAAAGCTGCAACTCAGAAAGACACAACTGAGAGGATGTACAGTACCTGTAAATAAAATCAGCAATGGTGCAGAGAAAGCACTAGGATGCAATTATTTCTCTAAGTATCCATTATAGCTACTAGGAGACAGGAGATGGGGTAAATGGAATGAGCCTGATCCAATATGAGAGAATCCTGATGATCAGATGAGTAATTTCTCTTAATTGCTTTTCCTTCCTTTTCAATCATCAAGTTATTTACTACAGAACATGGAATTTCTTTTAGACAATACAATAACAGTAGCTTATCAGACATATTGTCCATGTGAACAAAGCAGTTCATGGACCTCACACAGTTCCATGCTGGAGCCACATCAGACCCAGATGAATTAATTAAGAAGCCATGACAGAAGCATCTGATGATGATGCATTTGTTTGTAGCTCATTACTCTGGACTTTCAGCCACACTGTGCCAGGAATTAGCTGCAGTTATGGTTTCCCATAGCAACAAGGTATATGGGACTAATTGCTCAGGAAAAAACAGCTGACTGGGAGCTGTACCTCCCACAGGGAGCTGAGCCAGGTGTTCCCTAGGTATTTAGGAAAGTAAAACAAGGCTGCTCCATGTGCATCTGCAATACAGCTTGAACTTGGTCCACTCGTGTTCACAGCAGCAGCTCTTGTACCACACCCACACTGCTTCAGAGAGGCCTGATCACGCCAAGGAAGGAGGGACTAAACCCACTAAACCTCCCCCCAGATTCCCCTGTTCTCATTAATTTAGAAAGAAATGAGCACGGGTAAAGCTAGGTCTCTTCAGTAGGGTAAGATAGGAGATTAACTTTCACAGGCACTTACAGTTTATAATAAAAATGTAACAAGTATACATGTCATCATGTCTTAATATTAACCACTGATTTTTTGAAGTACCAAGCACTGAACAGTATGTAAATGCAGGCTATACACATGGTAAGAGGCACTCCAGATTTGTTAGGAACGAGCACAACTCAGCAAACACATTCTCCTAAATGCTTCGCCCCAGCCCAAAGCAAACAAACAAATCCAGCCTGGATAGACTTCAACATTAAATGCTCAGTAAGCTATCATTCAGAATTTCTGTTTCCCCACCGTGCCTTCAAAGTAGAAAGCAAATGGTTTCATTTGGGATCTACTGCGTGGGTGGGTTCAGTTAATTGAAGGGGGGAAAAAGCTTCAACTGGCAGGAAAGATGAGGTGACAAAACCAAGATTGCAGCGGCTGGCAAATGAAAAAGCCAGAAATACATATCCAAAATAATCATGCACACAACAATATAAACTGTACTTTCATCAGAGTTTAGTAAGTCTTGTGCTTACAAAGTCCCTGTCACTCAGTTCACTGTCCCTCCACAGACCAGCTCTGCATTGACTGTGCCTTAAATGTGACTGCAGAGCCAAGTGCTGCGGGTAACACCAACCACTGCAGGTCTCTAGTCCCTGCCCTGACAACGTGCTGTCACACCAGAGACGGCATCTGTTGTTTTCACCTCACAGGGCAGAGGTGTATTTGGCAAACTCACCACCCAGACACCAGACAGGGCAGGGAATTGGAGCTTTCTGAGGAGCTCAAACAGCAAAGCATCAAACCCCTGCTCGCGTCCTGGCCCAACATCATAACACACATCAGCACGTGTACCTGTGGATTTCTGGGATGCACAGTTACCTCCCTCTTTCCTGAGGAACCCGAGTGCCATTGTGTGACCTACACAGGCAGGCTACAAAAGGCTCCATTTAATGCTAAATACTGCAGCAGTGCCTTCTCATGTGCAGGTACAGAAGCCTTTTAATTTCAGTGAGTGGCTTCAAGGCAAAAACCCTAATGAAGACAACATAATTTGCAGTGTCAGTAGCTATTAATGCTACGAGGGCTACAGAACACACTGAGCTTTGATTTAATATCTCCCTCTTAGAGCATATTCTGCCTTCATAATAAGAACAAGGCCAAGGAGGAATAACCTCCAGCTGCTCCTGCAGATCAGGAGCCTACTGCCATACATTATTTTGATTGACAGTTTCTGCTTTGAGAAAAATCAACACACAGTGCTATCAGAATACTGGTCATCAGATCCAAAGAATATCCAAAAAAATATCAGATTAGACTCATAAAGCATTATTTACTATCATTTTGAGACTTGAGAGAGCATCTCTTGCTCCTTTGGGCTCCAGGGGAGCTCTGATCCCAGTTAGCTATCCTTTCCAAATTAAGCAGAAACTTGGCTGGTTGACTCTGATTTTATGCAATGTCTACTTTTGTCTGCTTACCCCCACCTCTGCAGCAGCCTCTTCTTCTCCACCAACATTTTGGAAGTGTAAATGGTGATAAAAGCATAAATAAAGCTTGCTTCCAGAGAGGGTGAGAGGAACTGATAAGGAAAGTGCACAAAATGTGAGTGACTGAGAGCAATGGCAATAAGAAAGAACCAAAGGGCAGCTGGGCTGGGACTCTGGGAGGGCAATGGCCTCAGCTGACACTTATTCAGATTTGATAATCCGTTAACAAGGAATTTGAACCTCCAAGTGCAGACACACAGGTGTTACTGACAAGAAACTCGAGCAACCAGAAGGAAAAAATACAGAGGGTAACTTTTTAGATGTGAATTCCTGTCAGCCTTTGGCACCTGATCATTAGTGCTGGTACTTAGTATAAAGCAAAAATTTTTGGCAGTTTGAAAATTGTGCCCACATATAATTATTGTGCTGGCAGTCACTATATTCAACAAGATCATGCAAAGAAGTGCATGGTAATTTCTGATAAAAAGAAAGGCAACTCCTCCAGCCACTTCTTTATGCTACTGTGACAACACAGGAACACAAAGGTGATTGCTTTCTTTTCTGCCACTACCCTAAAATTAAGCCTTTCCCCACTGACACTCACTTGGCTTAACACCTCTGAGTTGATGAGCACATGAGGTAAACCTTTTTCAGTTCCTCTTTAATCATCTCAGAGACAGTTGGAGTAAAACTGAAGTCAGGCAAACAGGCCAGTGAGGAGCTGGCTGTAAAGAAATTACTATTTCCTTAGTAGAAGAATCACAATATAAATTTCACATCAGACCTCTATATTTTTAAATATTTTCATTTTTCTTTCTTATTCCATGCAAAAAACCTCAGTCACTGTCTTCTACTGACACTTCATTTTGAGACAGAATGCAATTCACTCCCCTAAGTTACCAGAGAGGGAATCTCTTCAAGCTCTTGAATAGTGAACAAAACATGAGAAAAATCTATACTACACTGCAGGACAAACTACCCAGTTGAGCTGAGTTGTCTTGGGACAGGTGAAGTCAGGGGGAAAAAATAAGAGAGGAAAAAAATGCAAGAAAAGGAAAAGAACTTCAGTTACAGCAGAAATAATGCAGTTTTAATGGACCATGGAATATCAGATACCCAGCAAGAAGATGACCTTTTCTCCAGTGCTGAAATAACAAAGCCACAGAACACAAACGGTGATAAACCAACTTCAACTTTACAAAATCAATTTATGTGAGAATAAAAGAACAAAAGACATGACCTTTTCTTAGCTATTAAATAAACTAAATCCATTCTACTGAAGTCTTCTTTTTGAACAAAAGTTATTGCCTGACCTTTCTTATTCCAGTGCAGGATGCCAAGTGATTGGGCAAAGCATTTTTAGCTCTTTTGTTCTTCCTAAATCAGAGGTTTGTGCCACCAGAGAGGGGAAAACAGTGCAGATCCTTCCTAACCCCAGCACAGGAGCTTCTGTAGGTACCACCAGAGATCTGTAACATGGCCCAAAGACATGGGGCAAAGACCACGCAGGCTGGTGCTGGAATAGGACTGGGTATCCAAACCAGCCCTGTATCTCCACAGGATCCTGCAACACACACAGGTATCAGTTCTTGACCTGCACAATGAAGGCTATTAAAAGTGATCTGTGTTAATGGAACATTATTACATCAACACTGAGATTTCATACCTAACACTGATACAGTTTTGTATGATATTCTCAAAGAATCAGAGGCATAAAATGCATTTCCTGAAATTATCCCTTTCTGTGATATTACCATGAGATGAGTTCTCAGTAATTTATTGGATTCTCTACACTGTTCTATAAACAGTACAAAATAAAAATATAATGTAAATGAATGATAATTACATAATGTAATGTTAGTCTAAACATAATTTTACCTGCAGTTTTTCTCTTGTGGGGTCAGTGTCCAAATAATGTTCAACAGGTGGATGTTGCTGACTGGGATAACTGCAAAATAGGTTTATTCACTGAAAATAGAAACGTGTCATTATTTCCAATCCTTCTAATCCCAAGATCCATCTGTGAGCAAGATATTTCATTTGATGTACAAAAAAATGCATGTGCATTTGCATACGTGGAAATGTGTAAAAATATACACATTAATTCCCGAGGCTGCTCTGTTAAACACTGTCAGTAAGGTGCTGCTCATGCACCATCCTGTGGTTCAACAGGACAGACTCACAGTCACAGGAATCCTGACTGACTGGAAATCAAGAATCATTTTCTGAGACAGACAAATCACTTTATCATAAGAAATAACTCCTGGCTTCTGGAAGGGGATTAGTGTATTACAGGCAGTATCATCATTTTCATCTTCGCTTGGGTTTCCATCCTCCTGTTTTCTCTTTTATCATTGAAAAACTGCCAATGAGATGAACATGGAACAGAACTAATCTGATGGCTCCTGGGGTCAGGAGAGCAGCTGTGCTCAGCAAAACAGAATTTTGAAAAAGTTGACCAAGAAATCTTTGAGATCAGGGAAGAAGGACAGGAGAACATCAGGACTGAGAATTATATCTCCTGGCTGTGAAATATTAGTGCTCAAAACTCAGAATCTGAGATCATATGTCTCCATGTAGTATAGAAAGGACAATCTTTTGCCAAAAACCATAGAGAAGGTGGAGAGAAAAAATGCTGGTATCTTCAGAGCTGAAGAACAAAGAGCATTAGTGACCACGAGGATCTATGACACTGCTAATCCAGGGCCTGCCCATCTATTGCTCCCAAGAGCTCTGAGACCCCTGAATAAAAGCCCCAGGGTCCTGTGAAAAAGTACATTTACTGATACAGCAATCTTCTTCTGGACAAAGGAGAGAAGGGTTGCCATGGCAACCCTGCATGAATTCAGCACATCACCTGCACACAAAGTCTATCTGCAAGGGCTCTCTGGAAAGTTGGGGGTTTGCCTGCTTCTAGTTAGGGGTCCCTGGAAATAGTACCAAGGTCCTCCAAAGAAGGATTGCACAGGAAATGGATGGGACTTCTGCATCCACCAGATCAAAGGCTGCTCAGAGGTACAATTATCTATGTAAAAGGAGAGCACTGTAATTTTCTTGACAAAGATTTTCAAATAGCTGTAAAGAGCTGGAGAGTCTGATGTGTGCAGGGAACAAGCAAGGCCTGGAAGCTTTCTGTGACAAGGCAAACATGCCAGAGTTGTTAATCTTCTTGCTAATGAAGCCTCATGTTTGGATTTCCTGACCTACTACATCACTTTCCTTCTTTCTAGAATAAGGGAAAAGCAAAGAACCAAAAATTGGAATCAAATACATTGGAAGAACAAGTTGTTTAGAAGCAACGACAAGTAGGAGCAAAAATGAACTGCAAAACCAATTAAAACCTATGCAGAAATGCAGGTAGAAACAGTAGAAATAGATAAAATTCAATTCAGCTTCTTGTCAAAGTGTAGCAGAGAACATGAGATAAAATCTAAAAGTTTCTGTTCTATATGCACTGCCCCTCAACTCTGTAAAGTTTGTGAAACTCTGGTGTGCCAAAAGGCCCTGTGAGATGATCAAAACTTCAATTTGGTAAAACATTTCAAATAAAAGAAAAAAATTAGCACAGTGTTTATTGCAGCTAAAGCAAGGCCACATGGGAGCAAAGAGAAGTTTCTTTGCAGCCCTTGTCTGAAGTATCATCTTGAGCAGCTCCCCACCACAAGGATGCCCTTTGAAGTGCCATGGCCCAGGACTGGGGCATTCCAACCAAGGAGGTAAAATGTCCAAGGTTCCTTTGGATATGTCCACAAACATACAGCCCTTTGGTGGACATAACCCACCCCTGAAGGAAGGTCATGGGCTGAAGGTTAAATAAATACCTATGTTTGCTCCCTGCCACCTGGGGAACCTTCAAACAGAGCTTGGCAGTTTTGTTTAAACAAAATCAGCTTTCACAGAAATACATGACCAGAATGCAGCACTTGGCCAATGACTAAACAAAGGGCCTGAAACCTGCAATGACATAAAATATCTCCCTCTTATATAATACCAACATTTTGGGGAACTACCTAGAGGACAATTCACAAAGGCTAATTCCAGTCAAAATGTGCAGATTCTTTCTCAGAAGCAACCACTGGGGACAAGCTTCCCCATGACAGCCCTTGTAACTACGTCTGTAAAATTTTGAAGTGAGAATTAAAGCACTTCTGCAAATACTATTGTGTGAGTTGAAGCCACAGTTCTATAATGAAAAAAACACAACTATTTAAATAATATATATTTTCTTAAATTATTTGTAGAAATAAACTATAAAGAGGGGGATTCATCTGTACTGGACTAGTTACCCTTCCAGGCCAGTTCTCATACACTGCACTGCACCCCATCTTCCAGCCCTGCCAAACCCAACAGATTCACATGGGGCTGACTTTACAAATGAGAAAGTCAATTACACTATAAACTTGCATTTGGCACAAAAACCATCTGCAGAAAAAGCAGAGAATCAAAATCAATCAAACCCAAAAGGCTTCATTAAAATACACTGAAAGATTCACATGAGAGAGCTGCTCTTGTCTGAGGGCAGGGGGATGAACCTGGCAACTGTGACAGACCCTTCCAGGCCTGTTTTCTATTAACTTCCATTTATCTTCCTCCTTTTCAGGCACTCCTTTACACATCCGAGTCTATAGGAGGCTCAGGATTTTTTCTTCTAACACACACGTCAATACACCCCACTTTTGTTTGCTCAGCCACCACCAGGGAGTTTTGTCTTGTGAGCAATGAACATCTCAGTCACTAACCAGCCCCAGCAGCCCAGCACTGCAGGGAAAACCTCACCTCAGAGAGCAACAAGGTCATTTCACTTGGCACCAGAACAGCCAGTGGTCCTTTACAGACCTGTACTTTTAGCCAAGTAGATAAAACTTATCCACGTCACAATTTTAAGATACAAATCAGGCTGTTTTTTCTAAACAGTGTTTTACAATGCACAGCTCAGTGTTAACCCAGAGACCCACAGTCAGTTTGTCTCCAGCAGACACAACAGGCTGCTGACTCAACTGTATTTTGATACTAATTATCTTTCACACAATGCAGAGGCACAGGAATTAACATTCTTCAAAACTAGAATAGGATTCTCTTCCCAGCAGCTAAAGAAGTAACACAGGCATAACAAGGATCTATGTGCAAAGTCAAGGTCCACACCATGAGAACATCAAATGCTACTGAACACATTTTAAAGAAACATTTCATGGATGTATTAACTTTCAAAGATTACTCAGTCAGTGAAAGTAGTTTCTTTGATAAGGGAGTCACTAAGAATTAAAGCCTCTGTAGATACAATGGGAAAGAAGTGCATAAAATTGTGTATGTTTAGAACATGGTCTCAGCAGTTACAGACATGGAAAAATATCAGAAAACAATCTGAATTATTTGGCATCTGTGAAACAATTTCTGTCACCCAGTTCTCCGAAGTGCCCAATGTCTCTAGTGAGGAGATAAAAATAGCAGGAATGCAATTATTTCAACAAACAATCATAAATCTTAGAATGTTAAAACTAAGTTAAATTAGGGATCCAAAGTAGGTTGATTTATTTGAGCTATCTGCTCTTTTACTGACATGAGGAAAGCCCCCAAACAAATAGAAATATTCAGAGCATGTTTATCCAATTTCTCCCATTTCTCCAAGTCCCAGAGATATCTGCTCCCCGCGGGTCAGAAGTGAAAATCATGGAGATTTTGCTCTTCTTAAAAAAGCAACAACACCCCCCCCAACTCAGTGCCCTTATAAACCAGTATCAGTTCAAGATTCCATATGCACACTGTTATATTACAGTGTAAAATAACGCTAAAAATGTGTATTAATAGAGACATTTTCTTCAGAGACAGAACAATCACTGTTTGCTCATGCTTTTAGGCGGAATGAAAGGAACCACAACGTACACATTCCTCTTTCACAAACACATCCTTAAGCCAATGCACTCAAGCGTAGTATGTTTTTGATTGTGAGTGTGTCAAGATAACCCAAACACCCCTGCCAGCAACACTCCATCCACTATATCACCATCAAACACGACATTTATTTTAAGAATACAAAAAACCCTAATAAGCACACAGCAAAAAGCATTTTTATCTCACCCATAATATGTATTTATCATAAAATGTATTAGCATACAGAAGTCAGACAGCTGACACCGCCAGGAGGAATTAAAATGCAGGTTCTCGGGATAACTCATATTCCAGTTTGCTCTTCCTTCCAATGCAGTAATTTAAACAAAAATACATTAAATACCGATATTCCTGAAAAGGCTTATAAACAATTTAGACAATTACAGTAGAGTCATTCTCTCACAAAAAAAAAAAAACAACAAACAAACCTCTGAACCTGAAGACAAACCAGACAGTACTTGGTATTATCTTTAGACTGGACGACCAAGTTCACACAATAAGCAGGATAAACCACCTAAATGAAAAATCACCAGTGTAAAACCCATTTCCAGTTCTACCACAATACAAAATGCCCTCCCACATTCTGTGTCCTCAGTGAAAAGTGTCCCATCTGCTGATCAGCACAAGAGACACCCTATGTCTGAATTTTTCTTTCAGAAGGGAGTATTATACAGAAAGGCCTGTCTCTTGCCCTTTCAGGAATTCCAAAGAGCAAAGGGGCAGGTGTTACCCCCAGTCCTCAAACTTCAGGCCACTGGTGATGAGGGACCTCAACAAACCAGTCCCAGTGAGGCACCAAACTGCCTCGGGAGACAGAAATATGGGCATTGGAGTTATTTTCATTCTGATTAAAGGCATATACACACAGTGGTTGTTCTGTCTCTGAAGAAAATCTCTCCATAAATACAAATTTTAGCTTTATTTTACATAGGATGGAAGGATTGTAACATAACAACCTGGGCATCGAATTCTTGCAGTGACACTGAATGTCAACATCTGGGCTCATAACAAAGGGAGAGCTGCACGTCTTGTCTTTCATTACTATGTATAAATATTATAAGGAAGCCCTTATTAGCAGCAAGTGAATAATTTTCATTTTTTTGCCTAGAAAAGGCCACAGGTTTTAGGGCAGAGGATGCACCTTGTCCTGCACCGACCGAGCCCTGCAACAGGTCAATCCCAGTGTGGATGTGTCCAGTCCTGTCCCAGCGATGGCACCCAGGCCACGGCCACCACCGCTGCAGTATTTTTCTGTCAAGCACCGCAAATACCACAACGATAGAACAGCTCTGCTCCGGCCGCCCGGGCTGGGCGCCCCTCAGGGAGCCCCCCAAGGCGAGGGCCCGAGCCTCCCCTGGGGCCGGCGGGGGTGCGGCGACCCCTCACCTGCACCGTTTCGTGCCTCTGTGGGGTCTGGCGGTGGGGGTCTGGCGGTGGAGTCTGGCTGCTTCCCGGCTGGATCCGGGCTCTGTCCCGGCTGGATTCGGACTGAGGGGGCGGGGCCGCTCCCGCCCCTCACGGCCCCGCCGCCCGCCAGGGGGCGCGCGCGCGCCTCCCAGCCCCGCCGTGACGCGAGCGGCGCGCGCCGCCGCGGTGCATGCCGGGCCGGCGGCGGGAACATGGCGAGCGACTTCTACCTGCGGTACTACGTGGGGCACAAGGGGAAGTTCGGGCACGAGTTCCTCGAGTTCGAGTTCCGCCCCGACGGTGAGAGCGGGCGGGGGCCGGGGGGCACCGGGAGGGACGGCTCTGCGCTCCCCGAGGGCTCGGGGCCGGGCCGCCCCGGCGGGGTTTAACACGCGGCCTCTCCCCGCAGGGAAGCTGCGCTACGCCAACAACAGCAACTACAAGAACGATGTGATGATCCGCAAGGAGGTAAGTGAGGGGGGCGGCGGCGCGGGGCTCCCCTGCTGGAATGGTGTGTGCAGGGGTTGTAGTTCCATGTTGGGATGTTGTGTCCAGGCTTACGTGCACAAGAGCGTGATGGAGGAGCTGAAGAGAATCATCGACGACAGTGAAATCACGAAGGAAGATGATGCTCTGTGGCCGCCTCCGGACAGGGTGGGCCGGCAGGTGGGTGCATCTAATCGATGCTTTAATTTCCGTGGGTAGCTTCTTGGAAGCATAACAGAACTTTTCCCTCAAGGCTGTGTTGATTCCAGCCAAAAGGGAAACAATACTACCTTAAAACCTGAATAGTGACTCAATGGCAGCTTAGCTGGGGGAGTTAATATGATTCACAGACCTGCTGCACTCAATGTCTCTGTAATAGAAATTTGTAAAAAAAAAAAAAAAAAGTTATCACAGTACTTAAGTATTTCGGTAACTTGTACCTCAAAGCAGTAGAGTTCCCATAACCTTTTATTTTCCAGGAGCTTGAGATAGTAATTGGTGACGAGCACATCTCCTTTACCACGTCAAAAATCGGTTCACTCATTGATGTAAATCAGTCCAAGTACGTACCCTGCTTTTTTAAGTTGCTTTTATTGTTGTTTTTATTTAACAGTCTATATTAAACTTGCTGATCACTGGGTACCTGTATTTTACGTTGTTTCAAGGTACAGATCAGTTCCTGGGGACACTGCTCTGTGTTGCAGTGTAATGTACCAGCTGCCTTTAGACTGTGGCATTACACATATTTTCAAATACCTTGCTATAGGAACCCTGTCAGATGTGTTCATAGGCCAAACTGACCTGCCAGTCACCTGTCTGCATCAATGTCTTTGGGAGAACTGAGATTTCTGTATTTCACCAAAGCTGAAAAGATTGGCTGTCATGGTTGATTGGGTTTTTTTTTAATCCTAAGTGCTGTTGCTACTTGGCTTTCATGAAAAAAATGCACATTTTGTCAAGACTTAAAATATGCAAACCTGGAATGCAAAATGTTTTATCCATCAATGTAGAATGAAAAAAAATCTGTTCATGTCTAAAGTGACCTCCAAAAAGTCTCCTTACAGGCTTTGGGGTTTTTTTAATAGGTTAGTTCTATAAACTCTTCTAAAAGAGCATCAGTCTTAAACTTCTTTTGTTTTCTTTCCTTCTGTTGTGCACTGCAGAGATCCAGAAGGTTTGAGAGTATTCTACTACCTGGTCCAGGACCTTAAGTGTCTCGTCTTCAGTCTCATTGGACTGCACTTCAAGATTAAGCCAATTTAAATCAGACAAATTGAAGTTTGTATTACATTCTGTATGGGGGAATGGGTGGTGGGGGGGAGGATGCTGTTCCAGCTCGTCAGGGTTTCTGGCCTGGAGCTTTTATGTATTTCAGATTTTTTTGTTGTTGTTGTTAAAAATTGTCAGTGAGTATCCTTATTAAAAGGATGAGATTTCTTTTTAATTTTTGAGTTGTGAGAGACTGACTTCCTAACACTTCTTTTAGCATGATACACTCAGGGTATGTGACATCACTTGTATCACACACATCCTATATTTCTCTGTCTACACAGCAGTAGAAAATGGAATTAAGCCTGGCTCTGTGAAACGAAACTTCAGCCAGCTGTCAGGATAAACCTTTGTTACTGTCCTGAGCTGGCTATTCTGTTGGCCAGCCCAAAAGTGCAAACCAGCTGACTCTGCATGTGGTACCTGGTGGTAGCAGACACGCATCACCTTCCTCATGTCCTGTGCTCACCTGTTTGCCCCCAGAGCACAGGTGGACAACAGGCCGCCAGGAGCCACCCAGGATCTTCACTGACGCTCCCATCCAGCTTTGGAAAAGCTTGAAAAGCAACGTAGAATGTATTTAGTTAAGTTCTAGTCTAGCAGATCTGTTGTGCAGCATTAATTAAAAGACTTTGAGGGGTCTGAGACTCCCTGTGGGCTCTGAGGTTGTTCCCCACAGCAGCGCTGCCAAACTGTGCCCTTGCTTTCTCTGGCACATCTCTATTTCCTAAGTCAGTAGCCACTGCGATTAAAAAACAATTGTGGTTAAATGGCTTTTTAAAGGTGAAAACCCCCATTGCCGGTGCCAGCCCCTCCCGCTTTCCCGCCCCTCGCCACAGGCACCGCCCGCCCTTCCCGCCCGGCCGGGGCGGTGACGGGCGCCATCTTGGCTGAGGGCAAGCGCGGCTTCGCGTCGGCTTCAGCCCGGCAGGGAGCGCCGGGCGCGGCCGCCATCTTGGCTGAGGGCACGGCCTCGGCGGGGCAGAGGGAGAAGAGAATTCCACAAAAATTCCACGGAGGAGCGGCCGGAGACCCGCGCGGCCATGGGGGTAGGTGGGACCGCGGCCGGGCCGGGCCGGGCCGATGCGACCCGGGCTGACGCCGCTCCCGCCGCCCCTTGCCTTGCAGAGGATCGGGCTGCAGCTCCGCGCCACGCTGGAGAACATCACCCGGCTGCGGGCCGAGGGCGAGGACTTCCGATGGTACCTCAAGGTGCGGCGGGGCCGGGGGGGTCACACATCCCGCGTTAGTGACAGCTCTCAGCTCTCTGACTTCTGTTTTCCAGCTGAAATGTGCGAACTGCGGCGAAGTGTCTGAGAAGTGGCAGTACCTGCGGCTGATGGTGCGTGTCCCTGTAACCTGCCTCAGAACAAAAATGGGAACACGAACCTGCCTCTTACACACGTATTAGCATCAGGAATGGGACCACTTGCACTTTAGACGAGTTTTTCAATTGCTATATGCGTTTCATAGCTTTTCAGTAGCTATATGCAATTAGAAAACGCTGTCATATTCCATACTAAAAAAAATTTGGATCCTGTTAATTAAAACATGCCATTGGAATGGTGACTGTTAGTGAGCAAGTATTTACATCTGCTCTAAAAAAAAAAACTTTCTGTAAAAATAAAATTTGAAAACAAATTTTGAAGTGGTATCAGAATAAGGTTGTGCCTGTAAATATTTCTCTGATGCTGATGGAATATTTCTGGAGAAATTTAGGTAATTCAAGGTGAGTTAAGCATGCTAAATTAGCATTTGGAAACTGAAAAAGCAGGATAAAAGGGATAAGAGAAGGTTCCGTTCTTCAGAATGATGATCCTTTTTTCTTGCATAATACTGCGTGGCAAGAATGTATTTTGAGGAATTAATAGAACATGCTTATGTGGACCAAGACATAACTATCCACTATTCCCTGTTTTAAGTCTAGAACAGAATTATTCTTTGATAATCGCAGCTTCTTGAATTACTAACCTCTTGTTTAAAAAAAAGCCTTCTTGTGGCAATATTTTTAAGAAGTGAAAGACTGTTGTAAAAACTGCTTTACCTTTGCAGAGGTTTCCAGTGGCTCAGCTGAAGTGCAGTCACAAATGTCTCTGCTGTCGTGGTTTTTAGGACAGTGCTCCCCTGAAGGGCGGCCGAGGCAGCGCCACGATGGTGCAGAAGTGCAAGCTGTGCTCCAGGGAGAACTCCATCGGTACGTGCTTACATGTTTAACAGGCACCATCCACTTGTCACTTTTTATCCCAAGTTTATTTTTTAGTCCCCATTTTTGCTTGTAAAGAGCATTCACCGGGGATTTCTTCCCTTGCACACCAGTGCTCGAGTTCACAACAGGTACACACTCGACATCACGCTCATGAAGCAGACAGCAAGGCCTGGTGAGTCCAGGTTTCTGCATGAACAAAACTCATCTGCAATGTCATTTTACAAAGCATGCAAGTTTTTTTTGCATTGGTAAGGTAAGAAAATGGTGCAGTGTAAACTTCTCAGGAGAAGGGAGAAAAAGTGAAGGCCTTCTACCTTCTGAAGGCCAGCTGCAGGAAATGCTTGGTGACTTTGTTTCTTTTACTTTGTATAAGGAAATTTCTTTGAAAGGAGAACCTGGTGCTTGGTTTGTGCTGAATAAAACTAAAGACATAATGCAACTCACTTTTACACTTTTTTTTTTGTTTTAGATATTTTAAGTCAGACAATCAAGCCTTACAATGTAAGTTTGCTTCCTCTTCTATATAACAAGTGAGAGATAAATTAGCATTAATACTATTTTGAGTTTTTGCTTTATCATCCTCTTTCAAGAACACAAAAGAAGCTGGTATTGTTCCCTGACAGAAATTGTCTCTTGTAGACTCCTGCAGAGTCTCAAGTGTAGAATAATCTGATACATTTCATAAGCCAACACAGAACTGTATCACTCAAATTAGAGGTGGTTAGGCCTGTATTAGCAGACTAAGAAATTCTAGTTAATGACCACCTATTAAATGAGCCCTAGGATTCTGCTGTCACTTGGGGCATCAGAGATGACAGTACTGCCCTTAAAGCAGTCCATTCCTAAACTAATGCTTGTCACTGTCTCTATTAGATGGAAACTAATGGAATTCTGGCTCAATTACAGGCTGAAGACAGTGAGAAATTCAAGACAATAGTGGAGTTTGAATGCCGAGGTCTGGAACCGGTTGACTTTCAACCACAGGTGAGATCTTACTTGTGATTTGTTTCTCAGTTTTTAAAAACACTTCTTGTAGACTCCAGAGCGATAAAATACACATTGTTTGAAATGGTTCTGGAACATCCTAGACCTCCCCAAATTCCCATTCTCCCCATGGGATTCCCATCCACTTTTTTTCTA